TAGGCAGGAGCATTTCTGTGGAATTGTTAATGGCAAGATGTAGTTTTAGACTATGCTAGATCATAGCTAAAACCAAGACAGGGAGAAGGTCAGATCACTATTGATTACCAGCAAGCTTGAAGATTTCTTCCATACTCTCCATAGAAGATTTCAGTGAGCTCTAAATACCTGGCAAGTTTACACAAGGGATATTAGTATTTCTGAGCCTTCTGAAGAACAAAGACTTGGCCTGAAATTCTACCTTTTTGAGATTCTGTGTTCTCTTAAAATCTTCATTAGTGCTATCAAGTGAGTTTACCAGTGAATTACTGATTAGTATAGTCTGAAATTATTACATTAGAGGACATTATGAAAGTATTAGAACCTTTGAAAAGACCATTCTGCACAAAATGAATGGGGAAAGGAGCTGACTTACTGCATACTGGGACTCTTCATTAGGGACTGTATTAATAGGACAAGGGGTAATGGGTTTAAACTTAAACAGGGGAAGTTCAGGTTAGAAATAAGGAAGAAGTTCTTTACTGTGAGGGTGGTGAGGCACTGAAAAAAAGGTTGCTCAAAAAAGTGGTAAATGCTCCATCCCTGGCAGTGTTCAAGGCCAGGCTGGACAGAGCCTTGGGCGACATAGTCTAGTGTGAGGCATCCCTGCCCATAGCCGGAGGGCTAGAACTGGATGATCTTAAGGTCCTTTCCAACCCATTCTATGATTCTATATTGGAAAAAGGCTTCATTTCAGCATCGATACAGCTTGTACCTCAGTTATTACTTGGTAGCGGGGGAGGTCAACAGTGAGTATTCGGTAACTTACTGAGCTGGACCATCAGCTCTAGTCAGACAAAAAAATTGAGGGCCTTTGCTGGATGGGATTTTGCTGTGTTGTACAGAACACACCAGCTCTATGTTATCTCTCCATCAGCGTTGCTTTGAAAATGTGCAAGATGTGTTCTCTTACCTGCAGTAACCCTATCTTTGGGGGCATTTGATTTAGACCTGATACAAGATTCACCTGCAGTAACCATGGAAGTAAGTCATGTCGAAGCCTGCTTCACAGTTGAGGCTCCCTAACACAGCTGCAGTAAATAAGGCTTGGAAAGGGCTCCTCTCTCAGGTGCTCAGTAGTTACTGCTTCAGTGGTTTGGTTTCGCTAAAACACTTTTCTTGAGTGGTTTCCTGAGGATAGTTGTTAGTTATTTTTTCCCTTTTTTCCTGGTGAACAAGTTTGAGTCATCTTTATTTCAAGTGAGTAAAATAAGCTCATATGGGATGAGGTGTTAAAGGGTGTTGATGCTGATTAATTGTCTGTGTATGAATATTATTTTCTAGGAATATGCTGAACTTTGTGGTTCGAATAAGTAACATTAGTTATAGGTGACTTTAAAAAGTATTCATTTGGAGTTCTTGGCACAGGTTAAGTTTAGGGGGCTTTACATTTCTGTACATTGACTGGTACATTTCCTCGAAAAAATAAGCCAAGGGATTGATTATTTTCTGAAATGGGTTTGCTATTTGTTGAGTTGCTATGTGCATATCAGAGATTGCTGCTGCGTTTTTATTCCAATTATTTCTGATGTAATTTGGAGTTTTAAAACTGTCACAGTCTGTAATGTGCCACAGTTAGAATAACACTTGTATCTGAATTCTTCACATAAAGGAAAATGGGGCTTCTTGAATGGTTTTGTTTGTTATGGGACTTCCACTGTTACATCCTTTATCTGTTTTCCCTGTATTCCTAAAAGTCTCCTGATACCTTCTACTTTCTTAACTCCTTAATTTTGGAGAGAAATGATTATGAGGAAATCTGTCTACAGAAAGTTGACTTTTATTGTATGAAAATAACTTGTGATCCCTAATATCCCACTTGAAACATATGCAAAAGAGCCAAATACTTCCCATGCCTTATAAATCAGGGAATGTTCAGATATTCTTATCAGTGTCTTGATGTCTTGTAATCTTGAGTGTTTGGGTTGGCAATTTTGTGTTAGCCCAGCAGGGTAATTGCTTTGTGGAAAATATACCTCAGTTTTCATAACATAGTCTATAGTTTTGTTACAAATATATGCATCTGCTCTGAAAGTGAACTGTTCTCCTCTTCTCCATATAAAGAAACTATTTTTTTCCTCCTCATGATTCTTTTAACTGTTCTTGGAAATGTGTTACCAAATTATCTATTTCCACTTCTCTCATACAGACAGTGAATTATCATTGAAGAGCACAGAGTGCATGATGAGCTTGTTTGGTCACAGAAAAGTAATGAATATGGAAATAAGAAGTGCTATTAGAGAACCCTTGTTGTGTGCTCCTTGTCCTCCCACACCAGTTTTGTCCTTGTTACGTTGAATATCTTGGATTTTGAGGTTAAGTCTTCAGTAAGGAATATCCTTTCTGTGCTTGGGGGCTTCTGTTTGTCATTGGAAAAGGCCTTTGCAGTAGAAAGAGAGAATGATTTATTGGGCAAAGTGTTATTGTATAAGGAAATACTACATGTGTAATTCTACAAACAGGAAGTAATGTAACTCCTAACAGTGAGAAAACGTGGCCTGAGGGGAGTATGAAAATAGACATTGCTTGTTCAGTTGGATTATTTTTGTATTGTCAAATTACTTGGAATGGTAGGAATAACAAACTCTGGGGGAGAATGGGAGAGGTGTGAGAAAGAAAAAGGTAAGAAATGACTTGTAGGAATACCAAGGACTTGCACAGCTGGAGTTTTCCCAAATAACATCAAGTTCCCTTTGGCCAACGATGTGATTCTCAGTGGCAATTTATGCCTGAGATGAATCCTAAGGATGAATTTTAGAGAAAGCTTTGGCAAAGAGGCATCCCAAAAGAATTCACAAAGGCTTTTTAGTGAGAAAGAGGTGGTAGAGCTTGGTCTCACTGCCTCCTTCCCATTTGTGTAGAGTTCAGCATGACGAGATGACTCTTCTGTGTGTTACCTTAGAGATGTGGCCAAGGAACTTACAGGTAGTACTAAGAGGTAATAATACCATTGTTTTGAGGAGGCAGTGGAGAGATGTTTGGATGTGAGGGATAGAAAGCACATGGCAATGTAACAGAAGTCCCAGTTAAGAAGTCTGCAGTAGTCCCCAGTACCTAATATATAGGATTAAATACAGATGTGAGAGTGGAAACACGAAGTAGTGATTGAATGCATCAGGGGCAAAGCTCTGTGCTTTGAAGCAGGAACTGCCTCTCATACATCCAGACAACTATTTACTCCATGTACTGCCAGATGTGTTGTCTTTGTTGGAGTTGAAACTCTGCAAAATAGAGCCCAAGCCTGAAAAACATGACAAAATAACAGAGTTAGCTTTGATCTGGAAAAAAAACTGAGATACTAGAGTTGTGTAATAAAAATACCTCTTTCTGAACTGACAGTGGGGCACAAATGAAGTGCTGAGGTGTTACGATTTTTAAATAACTTGGGATGACTTTGGGAGAGTTGCGTCTGGTTTTAATAGACAATTTCTGTCTATTGGTGGGCAGAAGGAGTGAAAAAGCAGTCAAAAGAGCAGTGAATTATAGCTGGACTTAGAGCTAAGAGAGATGAAAGAAGATGTTAAAAAAAAAAAAAAAAGTTTGGAGGGCCAACTGTGAAATCAGTAGGGCCTGTTAAGCACTTTGGCTTTTAGTATGAGCAGAAGCTGCTTGATCCTGTGACCGCAAGTGTACAAGGTCTGCTCCAAGCATTCACTACCTGCAGCCTTCGTATGGTGGCACCGCACTCCAGGCCAGACTGGTGTGGTTGCAACCCTTTTGCTTCCTCTGTTGCAAGTAGTTGTTAAGTGAAAGTATTTCACGCCGAGAACAGGCTGCTGCTCTGAGTGTGACTGTAAAATATTTACCTTTGGAGTTTTAAAATGTGCCTTTTTAACCACCACCACAACAAAGTCAAAGCATTTGATGTGTTCACTGCTGTGTTGTGTCATAGCCATCAGCTTACTGATACAAGAGTAGATTAGTTCAAGTGAAATCTTTCGGCCTCATACAACTGGGCACGAGGTTTTAAGTATCAAATGTAATTTCAGAGAGCAAATGAGCATAAAGCTTCTGTGCATCCTATGCACCGTAAGTCAAGTGTTGTTTGTAAATAAGAAAGCTGTTCGAAAAAATCAATGTTTGCAGAAAAGCTGTCATTTAATAATGTCAGTTGCTGCAGTTTCGTGTACGGAGGACTGAAGAGAGGCTGAGCGTTAACAATGTGGACTCTTGGCTGCCTTTGCTCTCCGTGTTGTACTCTTGTCACCTATTGCCAATGTAATCCAGAGGCTCATGGAAGGAGAATGTCTCTGCCTGGGATCTCAGGTTCGGGTGGCAGTAGACAGTAGCGGACTTGTGCTCTTTGGAGGGTACACTTCTTCAAGAAAGGTGTGAAAACTGCATTTAAAGGTTAAACTAGAAGAACGTGAGAACCTAATGGGTTGGGATGAAGTTTCTGTTTCCTCCGCCGCCATCCTTTCTCCTCGGTGCAGCCGAAGGGGGGAGCCCTCGGTCCGGGCAGGCCCCGCGCTTGGGCGGAGGGACGGGAGAAACAAACCAGGCACCTCCGTTCCGTACCCAGCTCCCGGTTCAAGGTCAGGGCTGTGTAAACTGCTGCACAAAGGCTCCTTTCAGCAGCTGGCGCACCGGCTTCGCGGCCTCCCGCACAATCCCCCATTCATGCGGTGACCCCCGCGGGGCCAGGCGTGCGCGACCCTCACCCCGGGGAGCCGCCACAGAGCCCGGTCCCTGCTGTGGGCCCATCCCGAGAGCTGCGCAGGGCGGGCGGGCAGCTGCCCAGCGGGGCCAGCGGCAGCGGACCGCCCGTCGTCGCCCGCTTCGCAAAGCCGCCGGAGCCCCGGCACTGACCGGTAGGCCCCGCCCCTCACGGTAGTATTTACATATTACCCGCCCAGCTGGAATTTCATTGGCGGAGACGGTTTCGGTCGGCGTGGCTGATTGGTGCTTCTCGCCGCAGCTCATTTGCATGTGGCGGTGCGGGGCGCCCGGCAGACCTGCGGCGGAGAAGTTGAGTCGGAGCCGCCGCGAAGTGTCCCGCCGAGCCCGCCCCGCGGTCCCCGCGCCCTGCCTGGCGGCCTCTCGCTCCCCGCTGCCGCCCCACCGAGCCTGAAGATGGCTGAAGGCAGCGTCCCTGCGGGATGGAGGTAGCCGGCCCTCGGCGGAGCCGGCGTGCGGGGAAGGCTCCTGCTCGCTGTGCTGCAAATTCTCCCGCGCCGCTGGTGTGGCGGGTGGCTCTGGGTCGGTAGGAGCAGAAGTGATCTGCGCCAGGCTCACCTTTCGTGCTCTTCGCCGTTGGCTTAACCCGTCTTTCCTATGGCTGGGATATACAGCTCTACTCTGAAGACCCTGGAGGATTTAACTTTGGACTCTGGTTATGGGGCAGGGGATTCCTGCAGGTCCCTTAGTCTCTCCTCTTCCAAGTCCAACTCCCAAGCCTTCACCTCTTCTCAGCACAGAGGCAACTGGTGGTACTACTCGGGCTCCATGAACAGTAGGAATAACAGCTGGGATACCGTGAACACTGTTCTGCCGGAAGACCCCGAGGTCGCAGATATCTTTTCCAAGTGTCCTAAGCTGCCGGATCTAGAGGAATACCCTTGGACTGATGAAGACATTGGAAAAATACTCCGAAAAGGGAAGGGAGATGGCAACACCAGAACCTTTTCTCAGGAAGCTGTCAGGCGGCTCTCGCAGTTACTGAGGCGCGCCTTGATCAGGGTCTCCAGGGAAGCTCAGCGGCTCAGCGTGATGCACTCCAAGTGCACCAGGTTTGAGGTGCAGAGTGCTATCAAGCTCATCCAGAGCTGGTCGCTGTCAGAAAGCTGTGTCTTGGCCACCGTCAAGGCTCTCTCTCTGTACAGCATGAGTGCTGGAGATGGACTGAGGAAAGGTAAATCAGCCAGATGTGGCCTCACCTTCTCAGTGGGGAGGTTTTTCAGGTGGATGGTGGACACCAGGATCTCAGTTAGGATCCATGAATATGCAGCCATCTCTTTAACCGCCTGCATGGAAAACCTTGTAGAAGAGATTAAAGCTAGGGTTTTGGCAAGTCAGAGCCCAGATGGTGGAGGAGGGGAGATCTCAGCTGAAATCTTGGAGATGGTTATCAACAATGATGCTGAACTTTGGGGAGTGCTGCAACCTTACGAGCATCTCATCTGTGGGAAAAACGCTAATGGTAAGATCCAGCTTTTACCATATCTAGTCTTCATACCAGTAAAATTTACGATGATCATTGATCCCTATGGGTTTGGGGGTTTGTTGGGGTTTTTTCTTTTCCTCTGAATTGCATCTTGGTTGTGGTTTGTGTGTGTGTGTGTGTAAAGCAGACATGATGGTGTTACCAGGCAAGAAGGATCCTGATTTATTCTTAAGATGTACCAGTTAGAAAAGGTGCAGAGGCTGTGGGAAACCAAGCCCTGTTGTCCTAACAAATGTCTCTTGACTTTCTCCCAGCTGCTGTTTTGAGCATTTTTACTCTAACTGGCGTGTAAACACACTTCTCCGTAACCATTAGATGAAAATTGCTTTACAAGCAGCTCTTCATAAAATACCATTGTTTTTAAACAAAATTTAGATTGTAGCGAGTCTCCTGTAATTTCAGTATAAAGAGGTTAATCTCACAAACAGCCTGGAGAGGAAAAACAACATTCATTTATTGTGGTAGTAAAATTCAGTTTCTGAGCAAAAACTCGTAACTACACAGAAGTGTTACTTTAGACTTCCTTCTAGTTTAGCAGAAACCTGTGTTGTAATTACACTTGTGCAACAAACAAGAGCCTGTGCTTGGCTTGCCAAAGCGAGTATGCGGGCTGGTGCCTCAGTAATGAGAATAACATAGCATTAAGGTACTTACCTCTGTAATTTGTTTAGAAAGCAGCCTTTTTGAACAGTTAAGCAAATAAGCAGATAGAGGAATGTTGGCGTCTGCCTGTGAGACTGAGGGGCAGTTTGGAAGGTTTAAGTCATGACAGCTCTGCTCAGGAGCTGCGCTGCTTATTTTGCATTGTCACACTGAGGAGTGCCGTGTATTTTCCATGGAAAACTTGGAGAAGTGTTCAATTTGGAAAACTGTTCTGTGCACCACACACAGCTGCATGACTTCTGCTGTAACCTCGTTGTTACGGTCAGATATTCCATGCATAATACCTTTATGATTTAATTCCATAAACCCTAGTGGCTTGGTCCTCTTCAAAAGATAAGCTCTTGGTGAAAATTAGTTAAAGGAGAGGATTTCCTGAGGAACAAATATACTTTAGGCGTATTTGTACTGAAATGCTTTGTCAGAGAAGGGCTGACTCTTCTCCTTGGGTGCATTGATTTCCTGCACTTATCCTAGACCAAAGCAGAAACATCGTGATGCAGATGACTAGTGGATAGGTGCAGGGACTGACCCCATGGGTCAGCCTGGTTTAAATTACAACGTAAGAGGATGGCTGCTCTTATGGTGCTCGCAAAATCTCTCTGTGTACTCTATATGCCCTCAGTCTACTGTCAGTGTTACTAAAGGTATGTGAAATAAATGTGAAGAGCCCTTTGGGATGTGCTCTTGGCACTGGTACAAGACATAACTGTAACTTTCAAAGTCGGAGACATCTACTTTTTTAACTACAAGTTCTTAAGACTATAGAGGTATGAGGATGGCTTGTCCTCTGCCAAAACACTTGTCAGAATTCTTTGTATACTATGGGAGTACTTGTCACCAGGTCCAAAAAGAGGACTCAGTTCCCTCTCTTCTCCCTATTTAGGGAAGCTGGAGTAAAATGGTGTTGTTCTGTATAGTAAAACACACACCTCTCTGCTCATTGCTTCTGCCACACAGGTTCTGTGTGTAAAATGGAGAGGAAGTCAGTCCTTCAGTGCCTTTTTTTCTTCAGAGAAATCTTGGGAAAATGGCAGTGATTGAATGGAAGCTGGTGTTCAATGGGGACAAGAGTGACAGTGCAGGGAAATGCTTATAAATATTCAAACCACCAAATGGTCAGTTATGATAACGGCTGCGGAGTGTCATACCCAGCAGTTGCTGGCCACAGAAGGATTGGCTTCTGTTGCCTCTTTTGTTGTCCTTGTCTTTCAGATCAATTCTGTCGATAATTGAATGCATTTTTTAAGTCTGAAAATTGAATAAACCCCCACATGAAGGTATCCTGTGATCTCCTGTGACAGTCTGTCACTAGTATTTTACCTGACACAAGTCAGTGAATCTTCTAAATGGCTTTTCTTGCAGTTGTAAGACCACAAATGGTTTTATCGGGATGCAAAAAAGCTTGAAATAACTTCTTTATTCTTCTCCCCATAGGAATTGTAAATGAGGAGCATTCACATCATGCTCCTCAGTGCTTTCAAATGATCTTGTCTTTTACATTAATTTAAATCTGAGGTAGATCTAGTGGTAAAATAACTGGCTATATTCCAGTATAAGGAAAAGGAAAACTTGCTTTACTGTCATTTTTATGTCTTTTCTAGTAAGAAAATTTTAATGGAGTGTTTGTAAATTGTGAACTTGGCATGTATTTGTTGGGTTTTGTTTTATAGCACCGAGTTTGATGTTAGAGATAAAAAGCACTTAGAGGTTAAGTTCTAACTCCAGTCAAGCATTACAATCTCTGGATGAAATCCACGGCAGCGTACTATACAGAAGATTGCACTGGATTATCATAATGGGCCTTTCTGGCATTATGATCTATTGGATATAATTTTCATTATTAGATCAGGATAGTGTGCTGCTTTGGCATCTAAGAAACAGTAAGTAAATATATAAATCTTCATCAAATCTCCAAGAGACTGAGGTTTAGACCTGTATTTCTTCAGTGACTTAATCTCCCATCAAGACCATATAGTCCGGTCACTACTCTGAAGGCTTTGGAGGCTGAAAGCTTAATATTCTGTATTGCAACAAATGTGTTTACCCTTCACACACCAGGTGTTGATTCAGACTTTAAAACTCTACATGCTTAAGGGGAATTTTAATATTATTTTCAAGTAAATAATAACTTGTGGCTTATTTATTCACCCTTTGTGTGAAGCTGTTCTTTAATTGACTGCTGCTTCCAAGAGACATTTTCTGCTTCAGTGTGAGTTCTGGCTTCACACTTGGGACTCAGTCTCTGCCTTGAGAAGGATGAAGGAACTGAGATGATGGAACATCATCTGAGCTTCTGGCCCAAAGGAGTTCTGTAAAGCTCTTTGGGTGTGTTAATGCCTCCGAGAACAAAGTGGTTTTAGACAGGGTCTAGGTGAGATGTTGCAAAAATAATGCGATGGAAAGCTTGAAAGAAAATGAAACAACATCAGCAAAAATGATAAGCAGCTACTGAACAGCATTCCCAGTGGAAGGTAAAAAACAAAGTCCTATCAATATGGAGATACAGGATGTGCATTGCTTTGATACAACTAAAGTAGATAATGCATCTGGTAGTTTCACAGGGATTTTGAGACATGCTAATTTGAAATAGCCTATTCATTTAAAATGTTTACTGGGAGATGGGGGAAAATACAAACTTAATTTGGGAATGTGATACTTTTGCTTGATGTTCCTGTGTTTGGTGTTAGAATCTGAACTGTCAGCACTGCAAATCCATTCTGATGTTACTGCCCTATTAACTGCAGCACTTACATTGTACTTAACTATGGGGTTATTGCCAAACACTCCTGCGACAGCCAGTTCACCTGCTGGGCTATTTAATGCATCAGCACATCCTGGTGCTCTGTAGATGTAAGTGTTGACAGATGTGTTTGTGGGGAGGAAAGAAAAGGGCGGGGGAGGGAGAATTTAACTTGGTAGCACTGTTTCTTCACGTTCTTCTGAAAAACCTGAAGTTCTGTGTGTACAAACTAATCCAGAAATCAGCTGTTTGCTTGTAGAAACAAAGGCTGAAAGAAGCTCTATTTGTGTCTTGAGGCATTTTTCTTAGAGAGAGGTTGAGGGGGAATATGTGATCTTTACTCAGGGTGGGAGGGAATGATTTGAACTCCATAAAATTAGACCGGGAATGAATTTTGTCCTCTGATGCTACACACTGTGGCACACCCTGTCAAGTGTGGACTTTGGATTTAGTATCACAACCTAATCCCATTTTCTCTTCTATTTCTCACTGATAGAGGTTAAAAATTACATCTGTTTTTTAATACTGAGGATTTTTAAACTGTGCCATTCTAAAAAGTCATTTTTCTAGTTACCAAAATGATCTGAAATGATTATTTTAGTGTAGTCATGGTACTGTACTGAAATCCAGCACAGGGAAAAAAAAATGTATGGCATTTCAATAACTTAGACTGTCCTTTTGTTATCTGAACTGAACAAACTGGTGTGCTCATAAAGAGCCTCATCAATTTTAATAAGCTATCAGCTCCACAACTATTCAGGGGAAAAACTACATGTTGGAAGGGGGGGCATTTTGGGGAAGAGAACTGCAAATGCAATCAATAAACCAAGTGGAGTAGAAATAGAAGGCAAGTACAGCAGTGCCACAGATGGTTTGTGAATCATTTAAAACCATATACTAAACAAGTGCCTCTGTCTTCTGTGTTGGCATATCTGAAGCTGTCATTTGAAGCAATATTGCTTTCTGGGGATTCCTGGGCAGGGCTGATAGACCTACGTGCAGGTTTCCATGTGAGATGAGTTGCTTGTAGCTCTGATCCCGTTCAAACTATGGCTTCGTTCACCTCTGCAAATGTACCCCCAGCATACCTTGTGTGCTTCTACTCCTACATGTTCAAGGGCTTAGATTTATATCCACAAACCCACAGGGACAAATTCTTTAAACCTAAATGTTAGTGCTTGTATATACATGCTTACCTCTTCTACAAAGGCAAACCACTAGGTGCACAATTAGAAATACAAACATCTGCAGATATTCATCTTGCTTATGTTAAAGGGTAGATCAAGTAAAGCTAAAATGCTTCCCCCATCCCATCCCCCTCATAGTGGGCTTTATGTGTGTATATATGTTTTACGTAGTGATTATAAGCGCAAACTTCATTAATGAAGCTATAATGCTGCCTTAAATGCCTTCAAATTGCTGATATTACACCATGGTAATAGAATTTGTATCCTTTCAGTTGGTTACGGTGAAGTGCTGAAACTCCTTCAGTGTATAGCCATTAGTAGCAAATGCTGATATTTGGATTTCAAGTGGAGTATCAGTGATGGCTTAACCCTGTGAAACTGTGGAG